TTCAAAAACAAAAGTGAGCCTTCGAGCCGGGAGCGCATAGCAACACATCGCCAGAGAGGGAGAACGAGCCGAGATTCGAGCTGGGACGGCAGAGCGACGCACCGCAGAGCGAGCCGAGACGCGAGTGGCGTCGGACGTATCCGATCGAGCTCCTGCACCGAGTCCAGTTTCCTTATACATGCAACCACTGACGATTCACCTGTAACTTAGCACAATATAGTTTTTCTTAAAATTTGAACCTTGCCTTGGCTACATTCATTCGGACATCGCTGACACAGCGGATCTGAATTCGAGCCTCACTGTGTCATTGGTACTAGGTCAAGGCTGCCTACGTTAAGTTTGACAACTAGTTAAGACCCCCGGTGGCGGCGGCTGTAAAAAGAAGGAAGGCGTTGGGGTAACAAAAAAAAGGCATACTCAGATCTTCTAGCCGTGACAATATGAAATCAACACATAAATACTGACTCGAATGCTCCCTGGTGCATTATATTAGTAGCCACAAACCTGTGGAGTTGTGCTTCTTCTCTGTGCAATTTTTCGTCATTCTTCTGGAAAACCGTAATAACTGCTACGCACTTGAAATTTCGTGAAAATTTGTTATGCTGGGGCGGACAAAGAACAATAAATATGTCTGTAGCTTTTGTGATTGCCTGTAGCAATTGATGACCCACTTGTTACGCAGTGCGCAGAGAATGAAGCCTTGTTTTTTTCTTTGCTGTTGTAAAACGATCGATTACTCATATTACCGCGATTCTTTTTTCCTTGACTTGCCTAAGGGCAGTTTCCAATAAAGTTTCAAGCACCGGCGTGGCTCAGTTATACAGTACAGGGCTGGCACTTAGGAGTCCTGAGTTTGAATCCCATTGTGTTCGTCGAGTTTTTCATTTGCTTTGTTTTTTTTATTTCGCACGATAGTAAATACAGAGAATGGCGGCGTTGGCGTACAGCTACGATGCACGCTGTCCTTGCTATTTCATAACAGCTCTTGCTGTAAAACATACCGGTTGTGACCAAAGAACATTTTTATAACTGTACACCTTTTGACAATCACTTTTTGTGCGTGAGTGGTCAATGTCATGGGTGGTTTACGGTAAGAAGAAATGATTCACTGCTTCGCCCATTCATGATCATTAAGTTCATGAATTTGCCATGATTTCCCGCAGATGGCGTAAGTGTGACATCGCGCTTTGAGAGTTCAGCGTTCGAAATCATGAGAACGACCAATGTGTGATTTATCGCTCTGAGGATGCGACGACACTCCACGAAACAAGGTACACTACCAAGCACGACAGATGTACCGTTTGTTGTGGAAACATAAAAATTCTCTTTTGAAACGTTGGTATTAAAGTGTCGCATAGTCTACTTGTGGGCTTCGGATTAAGTTGGGATGCACCGCATCGGCTATGGGCTGTTCTTCACATACTGTCTCGCGTGTCAGATGCCTCATTTCACTTCGGACTATATTTACCGCATACGCTCTTCGTAAATTCAGAGGTACCTGCAACATACGTATCACTTCCGTAATTGGTGTTCTGAGGTAAACAGTTTTTCAAAAGAGCGCCGAATGCTTCTGTCAGAAGTATGAACAAATAGAAGCCTTCTTTCAATATTTTATGGCTGATTGAGTTGTGCCAGCGTCCTTTTTATAACTCCTGCTACCTACTCGAATTTGGCTACCGTGCGCGATATTATGTGAATGATTAAAACGTAAAAGTATAACTTACCAGTAGGCAGAGAAGTTCAGCATCTTAACTTCACTCATTTTAGTATTAGTACGCCTGAAAAGGTTTTTCCTACTCTTCATGTTTATCCGGAGTTTCTGATATCAAAGTTACCTAAAAATGCAGGAATATATTGCAATTTATTTGCTACCTGTGCTGGTGCAATTTGCTATTGTTGGCGCAAGTTTCCCCAGTTCACCATATAGGTTTCACACTTCTCAAGCTATGATGTTTCAAGTTATTCAAGATAAAGTACGTGATACGTAACTTCGGGCTGTCATCTTGTTTGGGAAGCTTTTTTTTTCTTCAACGATACTTATTGATGTACATGTTCAAGCAAATCAAGTAGTAGTATTAGCAGCTTGCAAATTTGACCAGTAAACTTAGCTTTTGTTTCTATATCCTGGCTTCTCATGATAGTGGTATTTCTTTGAAAGACTCTTCCTTGCGTAATGCAAAAGAGTGTGGACTTCAAAAGAATACTATGAACACAACGGGCTGCTCTCGAAGAAAATGGTTATTTAGAAAGAATTTTCTGAATGAATAATAATTTTTTTCTTTTACAACGAGATAATCATCTTTGAAGTCGAAGTATCTACGCAGTTATAATTTTGTCATGCTATGTCATAGGAATAATACAAACTCAAACCAACGTAATCTTCTTCTTCCTAAAGTTAGAACTAATTTATAGTAGATTTAACATTGCATTTTCAGGCACTTAACAATGAAACTCATTACCATCAGTTATCAAATTATCTTTATTCTCATTATTAAAAAAAGAACTGATGATCATTTCAGTAACACTCAGTGTCACGCAAAGCACGCATTACGTTTGTTTGTCCCCTATAGAACATTTCTTAATGTACTACTTTTATGTGTTTGAATTTCGCTTGTGTATTAACTTTGCTTATGTTCGATGCTTCTGCACATTGCTAGTTCCGCGTGTCATTTAGCCTTGTTTGAATTGATGTTTACTTTATTAAATTTTTCTTTTCCAATTTTTTTTTCAATTGTGATTAGCATAAAGTTTATAAGTATTTTCTCCTTTTCTAGTTACGCACCTCATACTGTATAATTACATAGCTCATTGTTTGCCGAGATTATTGTAAACCCCGTTCATTTTTTGTCAGGAGGTTCCCCCGACAGTTTGTAAGCATTGATTGTTGTTCATAACAAGACAATTGCTACTGCTAATGTTTAGGTACTTTCCGTAAAAACAACCAACTTTTGAGCTTGGCTGTATTTGCTTTTGTTTGATAGAATTTTCATGATGTACCTGTTTCAGCCTGGCTCCCCCTTCAGTCCCGATGAAAGCGGTTATACTTCATCTTTGGCAAGTATCACATGCTGATTCAGGCGATCTCCTTTGATGCTGCTATCTAAACCTGTATTGCGTATGCTGGACAGATTACGTCAACACATACGAGCAAACTAAGATGCAGTTAACAATGCAATATTTGTTAATAGGGGGACTTTCTTGGAGTTCATTCTTCCAAATCAAGATATGACGACACGATATGCTGTAGCGGAGCTCTGCGGCAAGTTTGTTGAAGTGGTGTTCTTTAATGTGCACCGATACTTTAGTACAGTGGCTTCATGTATTTTCACCTCCATTCAAAAGCCAGTGCCAAAGCGAGGATTTGATAACGCAAACGGCGAGGCAGCAGTGCAGCAGCGTAACGGCTGGACCAAGGAGGAGTGGGAAGCATGATTTGTAGCTACACGTCAGTTACGTATAACTGCAATCCTAACACGGGAATAAAACAGCGGGGAACAAGCATAGCGGAACGCATTGCAGAACCTCTATCAAAAGGTCCTATTATGGAAATAAAAGCTGATGGTAGACAACCGGAGCAGTTTCTGAATGATGCTCTGCCGTAGCCAACATAAACAAAAAGCCACGTGACTATTTACAAGTAAGCACATTATTTGAACTGAGTATAAACAAATCATACATTCTGGACCCTCAAGCTTATAGCACAAACACCGAAATGCCGCCAGGTGTGTAAACATATAAAAATTCTTGTGAATCTCTTCGGCAGTATGGTCATTGCTGCTTGACTGGACAGCAGCTTGTTTATTGTTTAAATTAGCAGTGGTATCTCTGACCTAATTTGACGCACAGTGTATATTATGAAATCACCACTGCTCACTCTGTAGCTAAGAACATTGGTGCTGCAAATAAAAAAATTAGTGGTGGTTTACGACAAACTAATACCACTTCCACATCACATGTGTGAAACAACTAAATGAAATCAACCATGCAAAGCAATTCAGACAGGACACATGCAAATATTTATATTCTAAGGGCCATACAAGGCAATCGGGAAAATCGAAATAGAGGGTCCGGAAAACCCACAAAATGCCACTGCATATTGACCACCTATTATGGTCTTTAGCGCAAAACGATTACAGAAAGGAAAAAAAAAAAGAAATGTAGGCGTGCACTTCCAAGTGAATTATTGAAAAAATGTACATAGGCTGTATGTCAGGTTTTTGCTAATGTACAATCAACTGAATGTTGCCGCCAGGTGTGTAAACATATAAAAATTCTTGTGAATCTCTTCGGCAGTATGGTCATTGCTGCTTGACTGGACAGCAGCTTGTTTATTGTTTAAATTAGCAGTGGTATCTCTGACCTAATTTGACGCACAGTGTATATTATGAAATCACCACTGCTCACTCTGTAGCTAAGAACATTGGTGCTGCAAATAAAAAAATTAGTGGTGGTTTACGACAAACTAATACCACTTCCACATCACATGTGTGAAACAACTAAATGAAATCAACCATGCAAAGCAATTCAGACAGGACACATGCAAATATTTATATTCTAAGGGCCATACAAGGCAATCGGGAAAATCGAAATAGAGGGTCCGGAAAACCCACAAAATGCCACTGCATATTGACCACCTATTATGGTCTTTAGCGCAAAACGATTACAGAAAGGAAAAAAAAAAGAAATGTAGGCGTGCACTTCCAAGTGAATTATTGAAAAAATGTACATAGGCTGTATGTCAGGTTTTTGCTAATGTACAATCAACTGAATGTTCGGTGCCAATAAATATGTTTGCTCACATTACACGTAAATAACAGACCATAGTCACTCATGTAGTTTTCTGGTAGATCTAACTTTCCGAGTGATTGTGCCGAGGGAGCCACACTTTTCTGACTAAAATTTTTATATGTTGCCTAAACTAAGCAGGCAAGAATCATAATGTCGATGACCTACATCTGTGAAGATTGATGCACTGAACTTTTTTCAGTCTTCACCTCCAATAAGCCCCGGAAGTCCCAGGCCTGGACCAAGCATGGTAAGTTTTTTTTTGCTAATATCCGGCAAAACACATGACTACTGTAAAAAATTGTACATAAGTGAACATTCTGCGTCCAATGAAACTTGAACAGTGGCAAACCTTCAAAATAGTAGAGTGCACGCCGTCCAGTTATCGCCATTGACTGGCGCATGCACTCTGTTCGGCAACTCTGCGCATTTATGCGTGCCTACCTATGATGATAAGTGGATGACGGGCACTATACTATTGGGAACGCCTCTGGCTGCTCGGATTGCATGTGACGCTGATGGTACATGTGTTTGTGTGTATATGTGAATCAACACTGTAGCGGTATACGCTCTTTTTCAGTCTCCGCTGCCACTTAGCCCCGCAAGTCCCGAGGCTGGCCCAAGTGGAGTAAGACTTTCTTTATTGATTTTCATCAGAAACCAAACCACAATTCTAAAATAAATAGTGATTATGAAGCCATGTACACGTGTATCATAGTCAAGACTGACGTGTCACACTTCTTTTCAGTATATCCCGCAATTAAGCCCTCTTAAATCCAGTACCCATTCTAGAGGGCTAAGCCTTTTGTACATAATGACCAACAAAATGAAACTAAGGCTCAAATAAACTTGCAGTGTTGATTCTATTCTTGCACGCATATCTCAGCAAAGATGCCACGCTGTGTTCTTTTTCAGTCTCTGCCCCCATTAAGCCGAAAACGTCCCACCTCTGGCTCAAGTGTTGTAAGTCTTTAAATTCTGATGGTCATCGAAACTACACTACTGCTAAAATCGGCATGCAGTGGTGAATACGTGAATGTGTGTGCATCTGGTTCACAATTTCTATGCTATGTCTTTTTTTCAGTCGCTGCCACCATTGAGCCCAATGACTTCGGTAAGTATTTCGCTCAAGGTCTCGTGAGCCTTTCGCTCAATATGACGAGTGAAACAAATTACTACCGTTGAAATACGCCCACAGTAACGCGTGCGTGCTGGTTTCAATATCTAAGTAACTATTATTGTGCCATATTTTCTTGCAGTCACCGTCTACACAAAGCCCCATAAGCCCTGTTGCTGGTTCAAATAGCGTAAGTATTGTTATTCAGAACGACAAGACAAACACGGCAATAGTGCCACAAACAAACGTACATAGTGAATATCTGCATGCGCGCATATCTCGAGAAAACATGACCCGTGCTGTGTTTTTTTTTCAGTCTCCGTTATTGCGCACCCGAAATCCGCTATATGGTCAAGTGATGTAAGTATATAATTCATCATGGCCACCAAAACCAATACAGCGGCTAAAAATAAGCATACAGTGGAGATCAGGCAATGTGCCGTGTATCTTGGGCACGATTGACTATGCTGTCTTTTTTTATTCAGGCTATAACCACCATTTAGCCCCATCAGCTCCGTCACTGGTTCAAGTGGGGTGAGTCTTTCGTTCAAGATGACGAGCGGAACAAATCACTATCGATGAAATCAGCACTAAGCAAAGATAGTTTGCATCAGGCTATATCTTAGTCAATATTGTTTTTTCACGATTTTTAAAGTCAACCTCACCATTCAGTCCCGTAAGTTCCGTTGCTAGTACTCTAGTGGTAAGTAGGCGTTTTTCATAATCGTATGTGGTTTCTGGACGTTAAAACCTACATATCAAGTAGAGTAAGTATCTAATTGATTATGGCAAGCGAAACAAAATAGAGTACCGTCTAGCCAAAGGTGACACAAGCATGTCGTACATTGGTTTAATCTTGCCTTGTTTTGTTTAGGCTGGTCAACAATAGTATTAAATGCGAAGCATTTTTAGCAAACTTCGGCGACTTTGAGCGCACTTATCTATCTATCTATCTATCTATCTATCTATCTATCTATCTATCTATCTATCTATCTATCTTTCTATCTATCTATCTATTCTTCAGGACCTCAATAATGTTCTTTGTTTTTTCTGTCTATCCTAAGGCAAGTTAAAGTATCTGTGGTGTTAGAAAAACTTGCCGCTCGACTTGCATCTCAGATAAGGTCAAAAACTTTGCGTATGTACTTCACCTTGCATGTAAAATGCACACAAATGAAGGGGTAAGAACATTCCTAATAACAATGTGTTGCTTAGTATATGTGACAAAGTACGTGCTGTTACACCTGGGAGTCCACACCAAACATCAATGCCTCTGCGAAGGCAATCTGTGTCAAAGCCAGCGATCAAGTCCGCCTGACGCGATCAACTCAACGACGTCATCAAGCAGCGGCGCCAATCTGTCTTAGGCAACGCACAGCGAGCCCCCTCAGCCCACGAGTCCCAAGAAGCAATCGGCACCTTCCAGTCTGGCGAGTCTTACGCAATGCGTTGCAACGTCACTCTTCCTTGCGCGCAACCACGCGCAGCGGCTCCGGATTTGATGACCATGAAGCAGCCCAGCGGCGGGCCCCTTTGGATAATTCTGACATCACGGCCCATGGCGCTTCTGGTTGGACGTTGGTGACGAAAAAGGTCCTGGCGGTGGTATAAAAAAAAAACAAGCGGCGTGTCGCCAGCAGTTGACCTTGGCGTCAGAGAGAAAGCGACGTATGCGTGCGAGAGAAGACATCTCGGCTCTTCAGTTTCCTAAGCTGTCGGTTTTATTACCGAATATGTAAGGTCTCTATTTCTATGCTGTACATAAACCTTGCCTTAGCTCACTGTCGTCTCGTCCGCTGTTTATCAGCTCTGCGCAAAAAGCAATCGAAAGCTGAGTAACACACGCTAACCAAATGGCTGGTGACCTGGCGGCGGAGTTCTGAGCAGTGCGCCTTCAGGACCGTGTTGGCGTCGTGCCTTCGAAACAGTGCACAAAGGATCACAGAAATCAACAAAGAGAGATATACTCCACCAAAATTTTGATTCGCGCACTCAACCCAAGACAAATGCGTTCTGCTAGGGCGTAAAAAGGTGCAACTGTTGCTTTCTCTATGTGCAGCAAAAAGTTTGTTTCTATCAAAACAAGAAAGCCGACAAGAGTCACAAGATTTTCAGATGGACGCAACGGGTGGGCCGCAGGGCTCCGTATATCACCATTACTTGTTAATTTAGTGTTTTGGGGGCTACCAGAAAAATTATGGAAATACCCGGACTGTTTCACAGTATATACGTGGATGACAACACCCTCTGGGTTCCCGGAGGAGGTTGTGACCGTCACGTCGAGAGAAGGCTACAGGTGGGAGTATTAGTACTATAGGCGGTATTTCAGGAGTATTTACAAGGAACGGGCCTCGAGTGCTCAGCAACCAAGTCCGAACTTTTAATTTACAATCCCACAGACAGAGGCAGCAAAACGCCACGGGGCGAGGAAAGGGAATCCTTCAAAATACGCGTTCTGTTGGCATACGGCACTGCCATACCACACGTAGACAGATTTCGAACTCTGGGTTCGCACAAACAGGCAAATGGCCGTAATGGTGAGACTGTGTGCCGACTCCGTCGTTCAGTAGACGACGCGATCAGACTTTTGCGTTGTATCACGGATAGACGTAACGGTCTGTGCGAACACTGTGCGATCCATCTCGTGCAGGCCTACGCGATGAGCCGAGTAACAT